GGTTCACGGATGATCGGAATTCCTTGTGGCGGGAGACGTGTATGAACTTGAAGGCCCAGCTGAAGGAGCCGTATTTGTCGGCCATGTTCACCTTCCTCACGTCTGATCCCGAGAATTTCCATCTCGTCCTGGTATGATTGGAACTTCGAGTTTTGACGAAGCTAACTGCTTCATCATTAGCATTACTTTAAATATATTTTGCGCGGTATAACTCGGGATTACCAAGCTGAATTGCCGGATGATTAAATGTCGTGGAAAGTGAATTTTAGAAGAATTTTTTAGATGTTTTTTAGTCATAGAGAGAAAGTTCACCTTTAATAAACTTGGAAAATCGCTCACCATTCTGCCAAATATAATTGAAATGATTCGTATTCAAAATTTCAATTTTGCACGGAATTCATTTCCTTCTTGAAAAATTATATTTTTGCCACGGGTTATGATGGCACCAATAATCAAAAGTTATACTGAACGTCATTTTCTCATGAGGTTTCCTGAAAATTTTCACTTCGTGTTTGAGTGTGGTAAAACTTTATCTCAACTTTTTTGAATGCGTTATTTTATTTTATGGAAATCATGAAGAAATGTATGATGAACAAACGGGTGAAATGTTAGTTAGTGTTGGAGTTCACTTGGTAAATCCTCAAATATTTTCCGAACAATCTTTCAAAGCCGTTCGATGCTTACAAAGTGCATTCAAATGATTTGTGTGATACAGTGATATGTAAGCTGGAATTTCGAAATTCGTTTACTGAATTTATTTGCTCGATTGTTGAATTTAAGTGCTGTATCGTTTCATCGGAAATTTGACACAAACCTCTTTTGAGAAATTTGGATGTCAAGTTGATTTTTATGAATCGAATGGGCTTGTGCTACAAAATGGTGCAGAAAGATTTTTTTTATCTTCTGGCATACTTTATCTCTTCGATTTAATTTTTATTTTGAAGTTTGTGTAGACGTAATGTACTTTTTTTTCTGCATAATTTTTCAGGAAGAAGGAATGGCTGTGAAAGACAACGTCGCGTTTGCGTTGACGTTCCTACCGGACGCCAAACTCCACGAATACGTTTCGCAAGTCACGGATACTTTAATGGATGGTGGTGTTCTGGATGGTCTCCTGTTGACGGGATTGGCTGTGAATTCGTTCCAAACGCAGACTGGCCAGGAGGGGCTTTCTGTGAACGTGAGCGTTGCTGATACACAAGGGCCGGCTTCGGATCCGCAACCCGTTCCGGTGTTCAACGGAACAGCCGCAATTGCTTCCATTGCGCTGAGTGGTTATACGACGAGTGTTGCTGTTTCATCTACTGGGACTGTTCAGAGCGGCGTGGCTTTGTCGTCAAGTGCTGGTGGATCAAGCAACCCACCAGGTTCGATTTGCATTCGGCTTATTTGAAGGAATTTTGTGTCCCGGAAGGGGTATTTTCCCTGAAGTCTTGCCAATCACGTAGAAACACCCTCACATTGAAGCCAGGGAATCGTTGTAGCAACTTTTTTTTCCTGTGATGGATAAAACTCATGCCAATTATTATTATTATTTTACATCAGTGTGTGACGAGAGAATTTCATGTAGGAAACGGCGCAATTTTTGCGAAAATGTGAATATCCTCCCCGAGAAAGGAACCATTCCGTTTTTCATTTTTTTCTGGTTTTACCCCTAGGTTAACAGAAGTTTCTCCGCTCCTTTGTCTCAATACAACTGTACTTTTATTGTGAGAAAAATTTTCCATTTTTCTCTTTAAAAATTGTTCTGAAGATTTACCGAAAGATTTTTTTTAAATCTATGACGGCAATTCATTGGAGATTTTTAGGACTTTGAGGGAATGTTTTGTTTACCCACGCATGGGGTTTGGTTCGAAATTGTTACCATATTGATTGATTACCGTATTTCCGCGAGCACTAAGTATCCTTGAGTAAGACGTGCACCACGGTTTTGTTCGTCAACATTTTTGATCAATTTTTCCCCCGGGGATGTCGCGCACCCTATTTTTATTGACTCAAAAACTGCCATATGATAAAGATGGCAACCAAATTCGAATTTAGGCATGAATTTAACCTGAATTCAGTTAATTTTCAATTGTTTCCCTCCAAAAAAGTTTTTTTGTTATAATTTTGTTCAGAATTTCCCATTAGAATCTAGTATGATGCACACATGAACGTCAAACTTTTATTCATTTTAAAGCTGTGTATGGTACTTGGAGTGGATGCAGTATTCGAATGCTACAAGCCCCTTATTTTTTCAAAATTGAGAGGAAGAAATGAGGGTGCACATCATAGGTGGACATGCAACTTTCGAACAATTTTAGAAGTTTAGATGCGCGTCATACTGTACTTGATTCTAATCGGAAATTTTGGAGTCATTTCAAAAGAAAGCATGTTTTTAGGGGGAAAATTGAAGATTAACTAAAGACAGGTTTGATTCATGCCTGCATTCAAATTTTGCTGACGTATTTTCGAAATACTTCAGTCTTCAAAGACGTGGTGCTCGTTTTAATCAGGAATCGGATTTTATTAGAATTTCAGGCTGAAAATTCAGGGTGCGCATCTTGCTTGAGGGCGCTTCGCACTTGTGGAAATACCGTATTTAATTTGAAGATAATTCATTTGTTTTCTGAGTGTGTCGAAAAGCTTTTGGGATTTCCTTTGCAACTGACCGCTTTGTCTTCCTTCTCGCCAGGTGTGATGTCTGGAACGATTGTGGCGGGTTCAGGTGGATATTTTTCCAGTGGCCTGAAGTTGCTTCAGAATTATATCGACAGAACGGGTGATGTGCAGTCGGGTGCTTTGATGGCACTGCACGCTGCTGCTTTGAGTGACGAACGAGCAAACAATTGGTTTCAAACGTGAGTGCTTTTTGCGATGGTCCAGGTACAGTACATTACTATATTAATATAAATTCTCCTGCTTCCCCAAAATTGTACGAGTTCTTTTTCACTTGAGGTTGGCATTTCTGTGAATCTTGATGAATCCGAGAAAATTTCGGACAGTATTGTGATTTTGGGGAAAGGTGGATCAAATTTTCCATAAAGGAGATACAGTAGCATCCNGTGTGACGTGGAAGCCACGAAAACCGATCCGACAAATAAAAGCATGCCGCAAGTGTACGTTTGCTGCTCATTTTGCGGTAAAGGGATCTCGCCCGGAATCGCCAAGTCTCGGGATACGCAACGTGGCATGTACATCCGAATGCAAGGACAGAACCAAGCTGCCAAATACAAGGTTAATATCAAAGAAAACCGATATTGTTGAAGTACAGTACTTGGCCGACCTGACTTCCCGATGGGAACATATTTGGTTTACCTTGTTTTCCTGCCAACTTATTTTCCTTTGTGGTCAGTAGAGGGATTAAGCTGGTATTGGACCATTGAAGAAAGGAGATTTGGTCACCGACCTCAGGAATGTACGCTAGGCGTCGTAGCTTAATAGCCCTCGAATTGTGCAGGTAGTAAAAGTGTATTTTTTGAAAAGGGGGGACCATGATTTTCCTGTAACTTTCAATGTTCAGGTACCCGAAGAGATTTCACAATTATCTGGTTCCTTGTCCTGTTGAATTTTTGCCTCTTTTGGATGATGTTCTGCGCTGCTGCTCACAATTCAATTTGCTTTGATTCCTATACTTGATGGTTTTTGTATATTTTACAAGAAGATTCACAGGCATTACCTCCGTGTGAATGACGGACTATGGTCCTTTATTCAAGGCAACTAATCCGCAGATAAGTTTGAAATGACGAAGAGCAGCTTATAATGCAGTGCACATGCAGAAGGATCCCATGCAATGTAAGGGGAAATTTTTGGACAATTTAAAGTTGAAATTCAAATAATATTGTAGAAATGAATGTAAGTTCCCCAAAAGCTAAGAAGGTTACCAATGTGCTGTACCTTGGACCCCATTTTTTCCATTTTTACCTTGGTCATTTCTAATGCCAAGGTATGTACATTGGTAACCATGTTAGCTTTTTGGGAAATTACATTCATTTCTACAATATTATTTGAATTTCACCTTTAAATTGTCCAAAAATTTCCCCAACCTCCTGGGGAAGGACCAGGCGGTTTAATCCTTTTGGGTAGGAACAATGTAGGATAATCTGGTAGGAAGCGATTCCTAGGACCCACACCTACTAAAATTTATAAGCGAATCTTACTTTTTGTTCACTTATTTAATCCTGTTACACGCAATAACAAAGCATGGTTGGTCACGGGTTGAAGGTCGGCCTAGCATTGGAACATTTTTGACTTTAACGTCAGTAAAGTTATATATGGTTTATCATTCTAAC